CCATTGGCCGCCTTGGCTACCTGTGCACACTGTTGACTCATGTTCAGTTGGCTCTCAACCAGTACCCCCAGACTCTTTTCTGCCTGGCAGCTTTCCAGCCACTTCTCCCCAAGCCTATAGGGCTGCATGGTGGTGTTGTGGCTGAAATGCAGGACCTGGCACTTGGCCTTGTTAAACCTCATATAATTGAAATCAGCTCATCAATTCAGCCTGGCCACGCCCCTCTGCAGAGCCATCCTACCCTTGAGCAGATCAGCACTCCCATCTTGGGCCCTTGCTTGCAATATATCGTCCACCTTCTGCAAGTTAAGTAAGCATCCTACAGAACAGACTTTCCCTGGAATAGTCTAATTATAGAATAATAGAATCATTAAGGTTGGAAAAGACCTCTTAAGATCAAGTCCAACCGTCAACCTAACACCACCATGACCACTAAACAATATCCTGAAGTGCCACATCTACGTGTTTTTTGAACACCTCCAGGGATGGTGACTCCACCACTTCCCTGGGCAGCCTGTTCCAGTGCTTGACCACTCTTTCAGTAAAGAAATTTTTCCTAATATCCAATCTAAACCTCCCCTGGTGCAACTTGAAGCCATTTCCTCTTTTCCTATTGCTAGGGAGAAGAGACCAATACCCACCTCACTACAATCTCCTTTCAGGCAGTTGTAGAGGGTGATAAGCTCTCCCCTCAGCCTCCTTTTCTCCAGACTAAACAATCCCAGTTCCCTCAGCTGCTTCCTAGAAGAGCTGCTCCTCAGGTGGCTGCCTATCCCATGCAGTAAAAAGGGAAGGAGCTAGATAGCAGAGAGGAAGTATGAAATCTGTGGAATTACAGACTCTCGTAATTCATGCATTCGAAGTACACACATAAAATTATTGGTCATAGCTGTAAGACTGGCATTTCCTAGTTTGGACTCCTCATGATTCAGACTCCCCTCTTCTAGCACAGAGCAGGAGTGTCAGTGTGTGTGTTATTCCACGGGTGGGCTATAGCTTCTTATTTTTAAGCAAATAGGAGTGTGTAGGGTTGTCCCCTCGGGGCCGCTCCCGCCGAGCGCGCTGCCCCGCTGTGGGCAGTTGGCCGCCAGGGGGCAGCAGTGCGCTGTGCATGGGGGATGCGGTCGGGGGATGCGGAGGGGGGCAGCTGGGGCACCGGGGGCTCTGGGACCCGGCCTGGGCTGGAGGGCGAAGGTGCCCAGCAGAGCCCCCCCGCTGTGTCCCTCGGCACCTCTTGAGGTGTCCACCATTGAGCGCTGCTATCTAAGTGTGACAGATGGCAGATACTTACTGCTTTTTGCTGTATCATCAGAGACACCGTTCAGCTTAAACCAAATTAATTATTATTATTACCAAATTAATTTATTGCGTTGGCCAAAAAGTAATTGCGTTTTTTTTTAATAGGGGGACATACATGTCTTGAAATGTAACTGACTTCATTTTAAACTGCAAATTCATTATGTAACTTGACAGCTGACAGTTCAAGCTTGGTTTAGGAAAAATAAAGTACACAGTTTTGTTAACAATTATTTATTTGATGTCGATTTCAAAATGGAAAATCAAGAGGAACATTTTTGTCATATTTTGCTATATTGCTTCCGAAAAGGAAAAAAATGCTGTGCAAACTTATAACAAGTTATGTGATGTGTATGGTGAAGATGCCTTAAAACTACGGCAGTGTCAGAATTGGTTTGCTAAATTTTGGTCTGGAGATTTTGCTGTTAAAGATGCAACTCGGGATGGCCAGTCAAAGGTGATAACGATGGAATAAAGGCATTGATCTAATCCAGTTGGCATTTAATAACATGAGAGATTGCTGATAATCTTAACATACTGAAATTGAGTGCTGAAAACCATTTTAAACAGCTTGGATGCATTAGGTAGCTCAATATTTGGGTACCACATGAGCTCAAAGAAATTCATCTCACTAAGTGTGTTGACATCTGTGATTCCCTCTTGAAATGTGAAGAAAACGATCCATTTTTGAAACGTATGATAACGAGTGATGAAAAATGGATCATCTATAAGAACAACAAACGAGAAAGATCGTGCAGCAGGTGTGATGAAGCAGCTCAAAGCACTTCAGATATTCACCAAAGGAAGGTGATGCTGTCAGTCTGGTGAAATTTGAAAGGTATTGTGTATTTTGCATTGCTTCCAATGAACCAAGCCATTAATTTGGAGGTGCACTGTTGTCAACTGGATAAACTGAATGACGCCATCAAACAGAAACATCCAGAATTGGTGAATCACAAAGGTATTGCGTTTCTCTGTGATAACACCAGACCACATACAAGTTTGGTCACTTGTCATAAATTGTTGCAGCTTGGATGGGATGTGTTACCACATCCACCATATTCACCAGACCTGGCACCATCAGACTACCATTTGTTTTGTTCTTTACAAAATGCTTTGAATGGTAAAACCTTTCCTGCTGCTGAGGATATCAAATCGTTCTTGGAGCTGTTTTTTTGCCAAAACAGCTAAGAACGTTTTTGAGTGCAGAATCAAGAAGCTGCCTGAAAAATGGCAAAAGGTAATTGAACAAAATGAACATTATATGGTTTAATGAAGTTTTTGTTTCCTATGAAATAATTGCCTTTCATTTACCCAGAAAAAAACTGCAACTACTTTTTGGCTAACCCAATATAATTGTTGAACCAACTCCATCAGTAGTTACAGGTGCACAAATAGGAGGTGAAGTACTTGGACTTACAGAAGTGGGTTGCATCAGGCTTTGTAATCTGTACATTGCATCATGCTCTTTCACTTTAAACTAGGAAACACATTCATACATCATTGGCTGTATGTCCATGAAGGTCATGGAGGCTGGTTTTGTTGTATGTTAATTTCAAAAAACTTTTCTTTTCCAGATTCAGGCAGTATGGACAGAGCTGAAGATCCCACGGTTTCCCCTTCTGGTTATTATTATGAAGATCAGTGGAGGTCCAGAACACACTGGATCCATCATTTTAACAACTCGGATGATATAACCAAGTGTTTACAAGGAAAAGTTATTCACTTGTTTGGAGACTCTACAATAAGGCAGTGGTTTGAATATTTGACAGCATTTGTTCCAGGTTATTTCTTTTTTATTTTAATTTGATTTTGTCCTTAAAGACCTTTGCAAAGCTTTATTTCTCACACCTCTGGCACAGAGCTGGTCTTACTGAATGACAGTGACAAAACAAAGGAAGAGAAAAGACAAAACATCATCAGAAGTGCTAGCAGAGAGGCAATTTGTCAAATGTTTTAGCAGACACTGGAAACTTGTAGGCCTTCAAAACAGGACCACGAGGTATCAATTTAAATGTTGTCCTTGTAAAATATTTCACCAGTGAGGACTGCTGTGAGTTCAGGTGGCCAACCAGGAGGCATGGCAGAGCTCATTTGGGGTGCCAGCGTCAGGCCTTGCAGCATCCCAGTCACACAAATAATTCTGCAATGAGGTAACAAACCACTTCCATTACTGTTGATTGGTTTTGGGCTCTTTCTTGTATTTCCCTTATTTTAACTTAAATAACAGAATTTCAGGAGCCAGTTAGATATTCCTCCCTCACCCCTAAAGCAGTTAAGTTGTGTTGGAACACAGAGATTGAGACTCCTTATTGCATATATGTTGAAGTTGTCTTTAAATTTAATGGAGTCCTAAAGTTGCCAGAAGGGTTCCCATAAATACTGGATTCATAGGGCAACAATGACTGCAGGAGTCTATTTGGAAAATTTCCTATTTACGAGAGAGAGTAGAAAAAAGTTTGGGAAACTTGGAAAAGGCATTGTCAGCCTTGAGAAGTTGAAACACCCATGAGCTCTACTCTGAAATATGCAGCTAACACGTGTATGGTGCTTATCATCTGTTTCACTTTAGAGTTCTTAGAATTACATTCAGATTTCCTTATCTACTGCTACTTTTGCCCTGTGGTCCTATCATCTTGTTGATAGTTTTAATTGCTTTTGCCATCCTTCACTAATCTTTGCTCTTGGGTTTTCAGATCTAGTGGAATTTAACCTGGGGAGTCCTAAGAACGTGGGGCCTTTCATGTCTGTGGATCTGAAGCACAACATCCTACTGAAGTTCCGCTGTCACGGGCCACCCATTCGCTTTTCAACAGTCTTTAGCAGTGAACTGCGCTACATTGCCAACGAGCTGAACGGCATAGTGGGTGGGAGAAATACGGTGATAGCCATAACTATATGGTCCCACTTCAGCACTTTCCCTGTGGAAGTTTATATCCGTCGGCTGAGGAACATTCGGAGATCAATTATTCAACTGCTGGATCGCAGCCCTAAAACTTTAATCGTCATCAGAACCGCTAATGTTCAGGAGCTTGGGCCGGAAGTGAGCCTCTTCAACAGTGACTGGTATTCCTTTCAGCTTGATTCTGTCATGAGGAAAATGTTCTCAGGAATTGCTGTGCACTTTGTGGATGCCTGGGAGATGTCTCTGGCTCATTACCTGCCACATAACTTGCACCCACAAGAAGTCATCGTTAAGAATCAAATAGATGTATTTTTATCTTACGTGTGCCCTCTGCAAACTTAGCACAAGTGTCAGCTTTTGCTATAGCTGAAGTAAAGCTGCTCTTTGTTGGAGCTATTGAATGATGCTGGATGGTGTGGAAGGAGTCTGGTTACTGTACTTGCATGCAGAATAAGCAGGGTGGCCTTGCCTCTGGGTGGCTGTGAAGGCTGATAAAGAGGAGTTGACTGTTCAGGCCATACTTTCCTGCGAGGTTGATTCCTTTCAACCTTATCATTCATATCTGAGATTATTCGAGAGCACCTTAAAATAAATTGACAGGATTCAATAAGAAATTATGCAGGTTATTAGCTTTACTAGTGTCTGCACTGTATGCTTAACTTAATCAATATGACACTGATTCTATTGCCAGGGTCTTGCTGCTTAGAACTGTGTATGAAACCTGGGTAGGATTTTGGGAGTAATTTTTCTCTCAGTGTTCCAAAGTTTGAGGGGCATCCCCTCCAGTTGTATGTCAGAGAAGCACAGTGTCTGTTCTTGTTTCAAAGTCCTAATTAGAAATATGAAGTGAATGTACCAAAATCACTAATATCAATGAAGGAAGCACAATCAAAATATCTACAATATTAAGTCATCAAGAATTTGCTGAAATTTAATAGAGCACACTAGTTAAGCACCCTTGGTGTTTACAGATGGCTGCTATATAATGCAAATAGCCAGTATTTTAGTTTGGTTTCCTGTACTACTGAATCTCTTCTAAACTTTGATACACTGACTACTTCTTGATTTATCTGTAATGGAGATACGTGCATATGATGATCTTGGTGAAGACACTGTCTCAGGCAGTTTCTGCAAGTTCAAGTTGCAGGCTTGCCTACTTGAAGCTTAAAGCATTTACTATAAGTGTTTCCCTTCCCTGTAAGATAAAGCTATTCTGTTATGCTCCTGCAAAGCTGGGCTTCTGGTAATTGCTCCTGTACATCATTCATACATTGTCTCTGTTTGGAGAAGCCAAGTGACTTGAATGCGCTTGACGATGCTTGGCAGTGGGTGACAGTGACTGGCACACATTAGTGTCAAGGCTATGCAATTCTGCCCCTTCTATATTTGGCAGTTTTATCATTTATTCATGAGCTTCGCTACTGCCAATATAACAGGTCAAAAAAATTACACCCGAAAGCCAAACACACCCAGGGTTGCCCTTCATAGATCATAGAATGTATTGGGTTGGAGAGGACCTTTCAAGGTCATCCAGTCCAACTCCCCTGCAGTGAGCCTTTAACCAGATCAGGTTGCTCAGAGCCCCATCCAACCTGACCTTGAGTATCTCCAGGGATGGGGCCTCCACCACTTCACTGGGCAACCTATTTCAGTGTTTCACCACCCTCATAGTAAAGAATTTCTTTCTAATATCTAGTGTAAATCTGCTCTCTTCCAGTTTAAAACCATTGCCCCTTGTCCTATCACTACACGCCCTTTTAAACAGTCCCTCCCCAGCTTTCTTATAAGCACTCTTCAGGTACTAGAAGGCCACTATAAGGTCTCCCTGCAGCCTTCTCTTCTCCAGGCTGAATAGCCCCAACTCTCTCAGCCTGTCCCCATAGGGGAGGTGCTCCAGCCCTCTGATCATTTCTGTGGCCCTCCTCTGGACCCACTCCAACAGCTCCATGTCCTTCTTGTGTTGAGGGCTCCAGAGTTGGATGCAGTACTCCAGGTGGGGTTTGACCAGAGCAGAGTAGAGGGGCAGAATCACCTCTCTTGCTCTGCTGGCCACACTTCTTTTGATGCAGCCCAGGATGCAATTGGCCTTCTGGGCTGTGAGTGCACACTGGTGGCTCATGTCCAGCTTTTTGTCCACCAGCACCCCCAAGTCCTTTTCTGCAGGGCTGTTCTCTATCACATCATCCCCCAGTCTGTATCAATAATGAGGATTGCTCCTACCCAGGTGCAGAACTTTGCACTTGGCCTTGTTGAACCTCATGAGGTTCACATGGGCCCACTTCTCCAGTTTGTCCAGGTCCCTCTAGATGACATCCCAGCCCTCTGGCTTGTTGACTGCACCAGTCAGCTTGGTGTCATCTGCAAACTTGCTGAGGGTGCCCTTGATCCCGCTGTCTGTATCACTGATAAAGATATTAAACAGCACTGGTCCCAGTATGGACCCCTGGGGGACACCACTTGTCACCCGTCTCCATCTGGACGTCGAGCCATTGACCACTGCCCTTTTGCTGCAATAATCCCGTCAATTCCTTATCCACCGAACAGTCCACCCATCAAGTCCATAACTCTCTAACTTAGAGAGAAAGATGTTGTGGGGGACTGTGTCAAAGGCCTTGCAGAAGTCCAGATAGATGACATCCATAGCTCTTCCCTTGTCCACTGTTGTACTCACTCCATTGTAGAAAGCCACTAGGTTGGTCAGACAGGACTTGCACCTAATAAAGCCATGCTGGCTGTCTCAAATCACCTCCCTGTCCTCCATGTGGCTCAGCATAGCTTCTAGGAGGATCTGTGCCATCACCTTCACAGACACAGAGGTGAGACTGACAGGTCCGTAGTTCCCAGGGTCCTCCTTTCTACCCTTCTTAAAAATGAGTGTGATGATTCCCTTCTTCCAGTCACCAGGGACTTCACCTGACTGCCACGACTTCTCAAATATCGTGGAGAGTGGCTTGGCAATGACATCAGCCAATTCCCTCAGGACACTGGGACACATCTCATCAGGTCCCATGGACTTGTGTATGTTCAGGTTCCTCAGGTGATCATGAACCTTGTCTTTGCTTACAACAGGAAGAACTTTGTCTCTCTGGTCCCTGTCTTGCAGTTCTTCAACTCAGGAGGTGTAAGGAGAGATGTTGCCAGTGAAGACTGAGGCAAAAGTTGAGAAACTCAGCCTCGTCTGTTGTTACTAGTTTGCCGCTGTTGCTCATTGGGGGTGGATGCTTTCTTTAACTTTCCTTTTCTGATTGACATACCTGTAGAAGGTATGTCTTGTTATTCTTTGCATACTTTGCCAAGTTCAGCTCCAGCCGTGCCTTGTCCTTCCTGACCTCATCCCCATGGAGCAGGGCAGCATCCCTATACTCTTCCCAAGATACCTGTCCCCATTTGAACTGCCTGTGCAGCTCCTTCTTGCCTTTTAGTTTGGCCAGCAGGACTCAACTCAGCCATGCCGGTCTGTTCCTTTCTTTGCTCGATTGCATTCATACAGATCCTTGGTAAGTATTGGCAGTGTTGCTGGTGTGAAAGCTAGTGGCTCTTGGGCCTCTTGGCCTGGTGTTTTCTGCTGCTAATTGGATTGAACCTGTCTATAGTTTTAACTAGTAGTGCTTTGAAAACAAAGTTGTGATTAAATTCAGCCCCCAACAACTAAACAGCAGAGAAATGTTCCATGTTGTCTTATTTCTGGTCCCACTCAGGCCAGAGGTAGTCTTTACCAGTGGCTTTACTGAGAAATGTGTCAAAACAGTAGTGGAGTATTTTTAAAGCAGCTCATCATGCTTAAGGAAAATTACGGAAGTTGAGTCTTTGTGAGCAAACTGAGAAGATTCATCAGATACAGGAAAAGTGTATGTTTTGTTAGATTTAAAAGACAACTGAGAACTGTCTTGAGAACAAATGTAAATGCTTTTAGCATGTAAAAGTCACCCATCTATAAACTTAACAATTTTAAACTGTGTAAAAATGACTGGAGAAGTCACATACACTGAAAGAGCATTTATTCTTAGCTTTTCAAATCAGAATTAAGAAGGTTCAGTCTGCTAGCTCCTACTGACAACTGCCTCACATAGTATCTGTCCAAACATTAGCTTTAGGTAACTATTTCTTACTTTAATATGTTAATGGAAATTTATCCTCTGCTAAAAAGAGACCACACCAATTCAGGTCTGGGATGGTAAACCACCACATCTTTCATCTTTTCCAGTTGCGTTTTTTAAAATAGGTAGGGTATATAAGGCTTTTATCCTGAATAACAAATCTATCCAAATAATGTAAATGAAAATAAGACTTCAGATTTTACTTTGAAGGAAATTACTTAGTTTGTGGACTAACCATTTGTTTTTTCTCAAAAAGACATATCATGTGTGAAAGTGTTGCGGCAGCATGTTTCTTGTGCTTACCACTGCTTTCTGACAGCTGCTTTCTATCGCTGTTAGCTACCAAGAACAGGTAGAGAGGAACAGTATTTTTTTAACGTTTTGACAGTTGAGGGAA